GAAAACTAGACCCGAATGGCGTGTGCCTAGTATTCGTACAAACTTCAGGAAACCGTTTCAAGCTGGTATTGTTTGATAACTGTTTGATAACTCAGCATTCTTGTGATGGCTTCAGGGAACCAGTCTCCAGTACAGGTAGCTCTCTTTTCCGGCATAGGAGCTGCTGCTGCTAGTTCAGTACAGGTCCGCACTTCTATACGTCCAGCTTACATGGTCAATGAGTCTTTGGAGAAACCGTACACTCACCTCCAGAATCCTGGTCCCTACCATGTGTGAGGTGGATTGGCCCAGCGCGAAGCTTTCAAGCGCTCGAAAGTGCACGACAACGGGGCTGTAGGGTAGTGATCCTCAGGAGCCGTCTCCGCGCTGCTGCGCCATCAGTCGCACACCTCACCATACACTGCTTCTATGCGCTCTCTCAATTCTTGTTGTTCTTCACCGCTGGGTGCGTCGCTGCGAGACCTTGGTCTTGATGCAAGAGCTGCGCCTTGAGTATAACGTGGGCGGAGTACGAATACGGTATCATCAGCTTCCACCTCCATTCACGTGCTCTTTTCGCCGAGTAAGGCTAAAGCTGTGGACTCATTCGCCTTCGCACATGGCAAGCACCGTACTCGAAAGTGTTTCTGCAGTTTATCCTCGAGCGTTCCAAACATAACTTGACGCCCATGAGCATGCATCGCATTGGACAACCCTGGTGGGTTTCTATGCGGAAGGAGGTTATCCGCGAGGGCTCGAGGGAATGAGGCGTGATGGTGGAATGTTATCACAGTATCATTGAACGTCAACATCATTCAACAAGATATGTCTGAAGGACTGGTGCATAGGTCGGCTTGACCTCACTCTCGGCAAACTCGACCGAGCATCCGGTGCGATGCACATATGTGAGATCGGGATTCCAATCATTGAATCGCTTGAACCAATTTTGAGCTGTTTCGGGAGGCACTCTCCGAGTTCCAATGTGGCAAGCTTCAATAACGCCTGAAGCACACTCGTTGTTACAGCGAGGTGAGCAAAGAAGCAGTCCATGAGCCCATAATTCTATGTTAACCTTGGAAGAAAGCCAAGCAGAAGACGTCGAATGACTCAACTCATCCGGGGCGTGTCAGCCGTACGTGGGTTTTGGCCTGGCGCCAGCTCCTTTCTCACCGCTCACTGAACGCCCTGTCTGGGTCCTGTAATGCAATTGAAATTATAAACAGGCTGACTTCGTGTGGAAACGCGTTGCCTCTGCTTCAGATGCTAACGACGCTCGAGGGATAACAGACTACTTCATTGGCAGTCACGGTGCAAAGAGTACTTACACGATCAAAAGGGATGGGTGGGCATTCGATCAATAAAACGAAGAAAAGGTCAAGGGAGTGACGAGTCCATTTCGTTCCACAATCCCGGCGGACGATTCTTCGTCTCCTACGCTTAGCCAGACGATTTCCTGTTAGAGAATGCTATAGACGTTACCTGATAAAAGATTGTCGACCGAGTCCTGCTGATTTTTGCGTTGATCATTGAAGAATATTGTCTTAATCCTACACTTCACTGTTTCTTCAAACTTACACTAAGATGCATACCGCTTGGGTGTTTATAAGCAACACGGATATTTCTCGTGATACGGTAAAAAGGATTGTGCTTATCACTCACCACTAGCGGCCTCACCGCTGGCCCATCCGATAAAACTCGGGGATGTTCAAGTTAGACGTTCGGAGGAGAACTCTTGCCTTCACAAATGCCCCTAACGGGTTCCCACGGGTGGGTTCCTACGAATGGGTTCCCACTGTCCACGCTCAAGGGTCGGCTCATGCGTAAACCGCCTTTAAACGCTTTATGTGGAAGACGTTTGGATGACGACTGCCTCCTGAAACCGAGACAGCTTTACAAATCACGCTGCGCTCGGGCTCCGCTTGGCAATCCGAACGCTTGCATGTTGCGAATACGTCCAGGGACTTAACGATGTCAATCGTCGATGAAGCAAGGCTATTTAACCCTTCGAAATCTTCGATCTGCGAACTCTCTCCACAACAGAAAAGAATTGGTGGTAGGAAACGACGCGCCGCTGGGCTCGTTCCCTGCTTCCTGACACCGCCCCATTTGCAACGATATCGACAGCAGTTTTTCTGCAGCTTTTGGAAATGACAAAAAAGTGAATAACTGGATCGATAGGGTGCCTACGATGACAAAATTTCGCAGTCCTGTAATTTTTTTCTTTCATATGTCTAAATTTTTTGCCAGAACGAGGCTTTGTCAAAAAACACCTGAACCTTTTGTCCAGGAAACGCTTTCTATCACCGAGCTCGCCATGAACTCGCAGAAATTCTCACCACTTGTTGGCATTACCTGAAGCCCACAGGAGAAACCAACCCTTTTGCGGTCCCATGTACTCCTTCAAAGCAGAGAACTGCTTTTGGAAAGCTCTTCGTTACCAGTAGGACCCTCCTTGCCATACCTCTGGTGTGCCATTTGTAAATGTATGTGGGACGTTGCGGCGACGCATGTCACATGAGAGGATGACGGTAGAGCCGTGCGACGTCGCTTGCGAGCGAACACTGTCTAGTCCAATAACG